CCTAAACTCGGAAGTCTCAACCTATCAGGATGGGCTCCATCATGGTCCAGTCAGATGCTGAGGGCAAGGCCGGTTGACGGGCTTCTAGGGTTTAGGGTTTAGGGTTTAGGGGTTTAGGGTTTAGGGTTTAGGGATTAGGGTCTTGGCGGAGGGTTCGATGCGTTTGGGCTACTGCTACTAAACGGGGGTTTAGGGTTGTTGGGGAAATAGGGAGCAGCGCTTGCGACTAGTACGAGTTTGACACTACTAGCACGAGTGGTTGTAGGTAGGAGCAGAAGTAGTTGTCGTGCCGACCCCTTCGCCTTCGTTGTCGTTGTGGTGGATGACTTCGGCCACCACGACGACTACATGCATACTATGATTACCTCTACCTCTGCCTCTACCTCTACCTCTATTACTATTTCACCGCCACCACCACTACTCCAACCACGACGACGACTACCACTACGACTACTACGGCGGCGACAGCGACCACGAGGACGAGGACGAGGAGAAGGACGACGAGGACGACGAAAACGAAGACTGAAGCAGTAGCTGGTACTTCTCGCTGTTGCTGCTTGTTGTTGCTTCTGCGGCTTCGACTGTGACGATGACGACGACCAAGACCATGACGCACGAAGACAGCGACACTACGTGAGGTTAATTTCGCACTTCATAGGTCTGACTGACAGAGCCCTGGAGTGGTGGGTGTACATAGGTACTAGCCTCATTAATAACGATCAGGCATTCCACGGCACGTCCTGTCCCACCCCTCCATGCAATGTTGTGTTTCCTTGTTGTTTATGGCAAGATTTTGTTCGATGGCTGTGTCAAGTTGTAACGTAGTGTGTCATTCATTGTCCTTCTTAGATCCGACATAACGCAGTATGCTACTACATGAGTGAAAATGCTTGACTGGTTGGGGCATTGGAGTGTGGTGCTTCGGGTATTCGCCTGCCTTGGTGCCAAACCTCAGAGAATCTTACGCATCAGAGCTACAAAACTGAAAAGCCCTTAGACACAAACCAACACCCGGAAACCCCGAAACTCCATAAATCTTGGCGAAAAGGATCTCAGTCCTTGGGCTTCAGGCCTGTGGTCGCCTCTCAGTGCTCCAGCTCTCCGTTCCTTTCCTGCGGCTCTTGCTGCAATGTGTTGCAGTTGAGGTTGTAGGGTTTATGAATAGGAAATTGGCTTGAGGAATGAGGGCTTAATTAGAAAATAAAGTTTGCCCGTGGTCCAACTCTGTCTTTTTGAAGGTTACACCCAAGAAAGCAGCCATAACCTACTGATATGTAGTGTTTGGGCTTAGGGTTTGAGGGTGCGGGGCTTCTGGATTCTGGATGAAGTAGATCCATTCGCGGCTCATTCTTGCTTCGTGTATGGTCGAAAGTTATTTCATCCTTTGAGAATACCTACTTCAATGAGAGAGTCTACTTCCGGAAGAAACCCGAACATGGCAACTAAAGAGCCTCTACAGACCCCTAAAGGAACCCTGAGACAACCCTTAAAGAGCCCTTAAGGAATCCCACCGTAAAGGCACTGTAAAGCAACCCTTAAGCAACCCGAAAAGAACCCTAAAGGAACCCAAAACAACCCCTAAGCAACCCGAAAAGATCCGTAAAAGCAAACCCTGAAACAACCCTTAAGCAACCCTAAACGAACCCTACAAAGAAACCCTGCAACTGGCTCTAAAGCCAAAACCCCAAACCGCGCACTTCCCTTACACAGAGGAGTGTTTTTTCTGTTTTTGTTTCTGGAGGTTCTGGGAGCCAAAGAGGACAGAGCTGTGGTGAGGGTTTAGGTGTTGGGGCTGAGGGTTCTGCAGGGGCTTGCTGGTTTAGGGTTTAGGGTTTAGGGTGTCTTTAAGGCAAGGCTCCTCAGGGCTTTATCTATTCCGGGGTCTAGAAGGGTTACAAGGCTTTCGTGACAAGATCTCCTAAACCCTAAACCCTAAACCGCTCTTGTTGCTGAAGTCCTCCTCCAGCACGCGGAGAAGTATAAGTAGGCTCCATGCAAGGGGTGTTGCTGAAGGCTTGTGGGCTCATTAGACATATTGGTCATTGATCTGGGCCGCCTGATTGTTGGGATACTAGTAAACAAGACAACACAAGTTCCTTAATTACCCTAAAACTCCAAGTAGACAAATAATACCTACTTGGGGGTCTTAAGTCTATAGATGGTACCTACTTTTTTGGCTATTTGGAGTCTTAGGGTTGAGGATTCTCAAGCAATATTCTACCTTAGTGCTCCTCCCTTAACCGGTCTTCTGGGCTTACTTCTGTATCCTAGTACTCCATTCTACTTCGAAGTCTACGACATCATCGCCCTGCGAGATTCCACCCTGATCTCTCCGAACCCTCAGCGCATTCTCATTGAGCCGGGATTTCATCTAGGTTGAACCCTAAAACCCTAAACCCTAACCCCTAAAACCCTAGACCCTAACCCCTAAAACCCTAAACCCTAACCCCTAAAACCCTAAAACCCTAGACCCCTCAAACCCTAAAGCCCGAAACCCTAAGAGTATATAGCTAAGGCAAGTCAGCAGCTCCTGCCCAGCGGGTGCTGATCGGCTCCACCCGCTTCTCAGCTTCAGCTTTCGAGACATGGCGACAGTAGCACTACACTTCTATACCCTTCCCCAAAGTCCTAAGTACCTATATGGTAGAATGTAGGGTTTCTATATTAGGAATTACTATTATGATGTAGAGAAGTCCTTTATAACGGTACCTAGGACCCTTTCGGTTCTACCTTCCTAGACCCTCCATCTACCCTCTATTAGACCCTAAGTACCTCTTATCTGGGACCCTTTTACCCTTGTTTGAGCGTACAAGGAGGGTCCTGGTTGTATCGTACTCTTAAGCATGGCATGGTGTCAGGGACGGTATCATCCTCAACCAAGGGGTGCGGGGGCTCGTTGGCTTGCGAGATACAGCAGCATCCTACAGGGCCAAGTCGGTTGCAATAAAATAAAAGGTGCTGCTGCCATGGTCTGCGCCAATTCCCTTTAGGTAGTTCTCTAAATAAGGGTCCCTTTTCGGGCCCTCACATAGTACGGCACCCTTATAAAAGGGACCCTAAAAGGTACCCTAATTTTAGAGAATCCCTCGCCCCTGAACCCGTAAACCCGAAACCCCTAAACCTCTAAACCCCTGAATCCTGAACTCTAAACCCTTGTGCTGTTGGTTTGCAGGCTTGGGAGCTTGAACTCTGAAACTCGAACCGTAAATGCTTCCAGAGTTTAGGGCTTAGGGTCTAGAGTTTAGGGTGTAGGATTCTTTGAGATAAGGGGCCTTAATAATCGGGAATCAAGAGATTGGGGTGTGGTCTACCCTAAACCGCCCTAAACCCTAAACCCCAAAACCCTTTAGGTATTAGGGATTAGGTTCGGAGGACTGGAGGGGTCAGGCAGGGGTTGAACCCCGAAGTGCTCTGAGCACAAGGCTCTTCTTAATGCTATACTCCCAAGGTTCTCGGTATCTAGTTTAGGGTTTTGGGTTTAGGGTTTCGGGGGGTTTTGGGTTTAGGGTTTCGGGGTTTAGGGTTTCGCATGTCAGGCGAGATTACTCATCCCGACAGCTTGTTGAGCACTTTAGACCCTTGGGGATGTAGGGATAGAAGCGGATCATAAAACTGCCTTTACAGAAACCTTTGTAGGATCCCTTATGGAACCCTTAAAACGGTTGTTGAGAACCCCATCATCAAAAAAACCTACACCCTGAACCTCGCCCCCCCCCCCCACAGGTTAAGCACACTCGTCCGCAGCGGCGAAGTGCTGAGCTTTCCATTGTTGGTTGAGCTCTTCAGGTTGTTGCTGTAGGATTTGTGGATCTGGGGTTAGGGTTCAGGATTTAGGATGGCGGGTTTAGGCAGGCTTTTTGATTTTTCCTGGTAGGTTGAAGTCTGTGATTTAGGGTCCACCCCTCTTGTGAGAGGGCGTGTAGAGCGTTCTGCTTGCACCTTACTCGTCCTAAGCTCTTGCTCTTTCAGCCACCCAAGGGGTCTGAATAGCTGGTAACACCATCCTCTTATAATATAACCCATACGTTCTTATAAGTACGAGGGCAAGCCAAGCATTCCTCATGTCTTCGCCCCTTCTCGGTTCTGCGAGGCAAGCATCTACTCAGAGACACTCCAGAATGGCTAAGGAGTCGCAAGAGGGTTTCGTGTTTAGGGCAAAACCCTAAACCCTAAAGGGAAAGTCAAGGGGTGAGAGGCTCCTGTGCCTACGGAGATGTTCGCAGGGAGCTCCCGAAATCCCAAACCTAACAAGAGCGTCGGGGGAGGGGGGGGGGGTGCATATTAGGCGGTTGCGACAGCAGTGGTCAATTCAGGGGAACAGGGCCAACTCTGGAACCTTGTGAACCCCTTTCTAATTAGGGGCTGAGTAAGTAACCTTTAACCTTTTGGGGCTTCCCGACCCTCATCTTCTGGATGGACGAGGACGATGATTACGAATTCTGGGACCCTGCATCCACACTGGAAGAGTTGGATTCTTTGCCCTCGTTCGCCTTCGACCAGCATGCGGGCTCTGGCGGAGGGGTGTCAGCCCGGTGCGGGCTCTGCGTCCTCCCTGGTCCCAGAACTACGCCTTAGACGGGTGCGCAAATGGCTTCTATCTCACATACGTGCCCATGGGCGGTGCAGCATGGATGCCCTTATCGAGGAGCTTTTGATCCGGGTGCAGGTTGCAGATGCAAACCACGTGCGCGAAGTCATTGGCCAAGCATCTCGAACCTTGTGTGTAGAAGGCCGCGCCTTCTTTGCAGACAGCAACCTCTGCCCCATCCCACGCTGAAAACGACCGAGCGATGCATTATAGTAGGCCTGGTCTTTCTTGCACTTTTCCATGCCGCGCAAGAGTCCTCCCAACCTCCTCCCGCCGCCATTTGACTTATGCCTACTCACGCGCATTACTTTCCGGATATTTCGGTTCTCTCGTCGTTTATTATTATTATTTTATTTCCCCCTTTCCAACCCCTCTGAACCTTGCGTGGAGGGGGCCGATGACGTTTCCGGAGGCTACCCGGAGATGCGGAAGGGGAAGAGTGCGGTGACCGCGGTAACTACCGTTGGTCGGCACCTACCTGCCTACCTACCTACCTACCTGCCTACCTACCTACCTACCTACCTACCTACCTACCTACCTACTGGGGCTGATATAAACCGACTATAACTCAAAAGGTTAACCTTTTTTGGGCTAAGGTACTCGGCCCCTACGTCTATGAGCCGATACAAACGGTATCAGATTCCCTGCACCATATAGGGCTCTGCACTATGATAATTGACCATGAGTATAATAAGCTCCCCGCCCTAAACCACCGAGAGCCTACACCTCTAAGGCCCTGAAGCACTAAACCCCGAATCGCTTTGACCTACTTAGTAGGTGAACCACTACACTTTATAAACTCTTTGGGATAATATGATCGTAGAACTGAAGGTGTACGCATTTCTTATGCTTATGAACTCAGCAACTAAGCCTAAGGACTCTAAAGGGCTCATGGACATGGCTGTTTTCGAAAGCTGATCGTAGGCTTCGGGTTCAGGGTTTCGAGGTCTTGGCCTAACTCTCTGGTTTTTAGTAGGGAATGGGGGAATGGATCCCTAGGATAGTCCCTTAAGGTCCCCTATAGTAGTCCCAATAACCCATTCCCCCATTCCCTACTAAGAACCAGACAGCTAAGGCGTCTCGGGATTTGGGATTTACTCAGTTCTCCAACACCAAGCCTTTAATCTTTTTGGGTTCTTATAATTTAGTAGAATCTGAGCGCATAACCTTTCTTTTTCGTGGCTTATTGGGGAAGTAAGTTGAGGATGCTGGCGGGGTCTTAAGGCTTGGGACCCTGAGATATGAAGCTGAAAGCCTCACCCGAAGCTCTACAGTCCCAAAAGCTCATCCCTAAACCCCTAAACCCCAAAACCCTAGTCCCTAAAGCCTAAACCCTAAACCCTAAACAGGCCCTAAACCCTAAACCCTAAACCCCAAAACCCTATGTCCCTAGACCCTGATCAACTCCTAGAGCCGAAGCCCTATAACCCATAAACCCAAATCCCTAAACCCTAATCCCTGAACCCTAAACCCTACAGCAAAGCCCCAAAAAGTTGGAAACCGGTTTAAGGACAAATAGTGCTGGGATTCCCTTTCCATTACTCTTAGGGGTTGGGGCTATTGGGTTTCCAACTTTTGGGCGTCTACTCTATAGACTCCAACCTTGGAGTCCCAGAAGTTGTAATAGCCAACACACCTGCCAGAAGCTTCCAAGGCTACGAGGGCTGCCGATTGGAGGAGGGGGAGTTTCATAGTAATATAGAAGCCTAACCTGGGAAGCCAAAAACCTACCGTTTTAGGGGTTCTACCCTGTAATTAAGGGGTCATAAGCTACTATTTTGTAGGGCTTGGGGTCACAGGAGATACTTCTCAATATTATTCTTTAGGGCTCCTTACTATGATTGTACAAAGGTCCCGACATTATTATGTTCCGAAGCGGCGCAGGAACTCAAACTTCCCCGGAGCGGAATCGTAGTAGCTGAGTTACTGCAGTTTAAACTTTTTGGGATAACATGATCCCTTATAGAACTGAAAGGGTACACTTTTTTTATGCTGATGAACTCAGCTTACTAAGTAATCTCTGGGTCAGGGTTTTAGGGTTCAGGGTTTAGGGCTCAGGGTTTAGGGGTTTAGGGTTTAGGGGAGCAGCTCAACAGTAGTCAGCAAAGGCTTATAAACGCGGTACATCTGTGTGAACGCCTTGGCACAGGGCTGAATCTATCAGTTGCGTTGCCGTGCGTGAGGGAGCGTGTGGGTCTCCTGGTCGGGGTATTGAAACGTATCACACTCTGAGCTATGGTTGGTACTTCATATCTGTAACAGTGGGTACCCTAAGGAAGGGTTGAGTATGACCCATTAAGCAGTTTTGAGCCGTTTGTGTTGCGAGCTTGCAAAAAGGACACTAAGCTCGCAGCAGCAGTGGTGGCAGTCATAGGCTAAATAGCAGGAGCAGCCATAGCCTAAATAGAATCCCTCCAATAAAACCCTCGAACAAAAGGAAATGTGAAAAAACCCTACTCAGCGTCGGAAATTCTGTTTTGCGCGTCGTAGGAGTTGTTCTGCTTACCCGACTTGCACTTGTGGTTTACGGGTTGAGCTTCCAGGATAGAAGTTCTTTCAGAGTGGTAGCCGAAGAGCCCAGTTTATCATCGTTTGAGCAATGCACTTGAAGGCGTGTCTAGAAAATGAAGGCAATTTGCTCTAAATTCTGACCCTAAAACCCTAAACCCTAAAACCCTAAAACCCTAAACCCTAAACCCTAAAACCCTAAACCCTAAACCCTAAAACCCTCTAAGACCCAAGATCGTCAGGAGCTGCTAGCATCTCCAGACACAGAAAGACGTCGCCCTTCGGCTGTCTGGGCTCTCAACCCAGACCGCCCAAAAGGATCCAAAAATTAGATCCCTTAAAAAACGGGGCGTCCTAGACAGCACCCGTTGGTAGTAATTACACGGTCCCAAACTTGAGGATCTGCTTTTTGGATCCTTCCGGCGGTCTGAGAAATTCTTCTCTGCAAATTTAGACTACCCTAAACCCTAAACCCTAAACTTAGGACCTTATTTTTTTGGTGTTTGGGTATCCAGAATCCATCGCGTTTTCTGGAGTTTAGGGTTGTGAAGTATGGGCGTTGGGCATTTATAGGGTTTAGGGTCCAGGGCCCTTGGTCCAAAATCCTCGATCCTTGCAGCCGAGGATATCCTTTCATGATTTGGCTGGAGAGTTGGTCGCTGGCCTCGCAACAGGCCAGTCACCAGGTCAGCTTTTAATTAGGGTTTGGGGATCCAGGGTTTT